TCTTGTAGTTTGGTGCAGGTGTCTATGAAAGAGTTTTCTGTTGCGACCGACAAAAACGATTTCCCTTCGTGCGCAAAAAGGACAAACAAAAAGAATGCGCAAAAAAAAATACACAAATAATAACCTGCGGGAATTCCTGTTCCCGAATAAAGATGTCTTTTGTTACTTCACCTGTCTTTGATTTAAAATAATAATAAGAAAACAGTACGTTCAGTGTATGGAATAAATAAAAGGCAGTATTAAAAATACCAACGACATTGCACTTAATCAATCCCCGCTAATTGTGTAATTATTTTTTTTCTAACACCAAAACAAAGTTTTAAAAAATGTCATACAAAACGTTTTAATAATAAGCTTTTATGTACTAATGCACTAAAAAGTAGAAAATAAATTATAGACTACTATTTAAATAGCTATAAAGAAAAGCGTGGGTCACTTTAGTATCTATTGGATACCTTTACTAATGTTTAGGAAGAGACCCACGCTTCTCTTTCTAGTTATTTAAATAGTAGTCTATAATTTTTGCTCTACTTTTTAGTACATTAGTGCATAAAAGCTTGTTATTAAAACGTTTTTTATGGAAAAAAAATTATTACTTTACATGTTGTTTTTTTTACAATAGAGTTTCATGACTAAAAACCATTGCGCGCCTATTGAACGTGATGACGCGTGTGGTGTGGTTGGATAGAAATGCCTACTAATTTGGTCAAAATTTTAATTAATTCATAAAAAAATTAATTAGGCATCCAATTGAGTCAAATTTAATGTCACGATGCATTGTCTTCATGTCTAGACCCACGTACAAATTAAGAACCGTATCAGTCAAGTAGAAGTGCCTGCAATTTTGCTCCGGCGTTTCGATCTAGACAGACTTACGACAGACTGATGTTACGTTTACCTATCTATCAGCCAGATAGATGGTGAACGTCCCCGGATTCTTTTTTTGGGGTTATATGCAAATGACTTAAAGCCTAAATGAATGAACACTAACTCAACAACACACTAGGGCTCGATCTCGATGTCTAGGGAAAACTAGTGATACTATTGAAGTTAACACTCATCCAATCTGCATACAACCTTTAATAAGCGAACACAGTTGTGGCAGAACACAAGGTTAAACTAGATAAAATATTTAATTTATAAAATGACAAAACCCAACTTACAAAGCGTAAGAAAAAACACTATTACAGATTTCAACACTGTATAAAAATAGCCACAGGCCACACAACACTGCTATAGCTTCAAGAATCACTTGGCGACAAGTAATTTTACACTAGAAGACTAAATCAACTTAAGAAAGCATAGCACACACAGGACTTAAGTTCTCTCACGTTCAATGGTCAGAATCTATTGCCGGACAATATGGACGGCTTGGTCCTAATAGACCGCTTAATCAAGGTAGACTGCCACGTGTGGCGAGTGTGCGGTGCAGTTAAAGACTTCTGCAACAGGGGAGGTTATCCTCAACTCATGTAGCCATTGGTTGGGATGGTCATCTGATCAGAATCAATCAATCAGATCTTAATGGAAAATTTCTGGGTCCTAGACACCTTAATAAGACAGTGGAAAAACCCCAGATAGTTGCACCATCATTCCATATAAGGTATTATACAATGTCAAAATAAAACATTACTGAACCTAAGTAGGTCACACTGACGACAGAATGACGAGGAAGTGAGTTAAATAAAAGCTTGAAAAAAGTAAATTCTTTTTCCCCGATGTAATGTTTTTTTAAAGGGAAGTAGCTGTGTTTCCCTAATCAAGGGACGTAAAGAGCGCTAAAGGAGTAAATGCAAATACATTTCAGACACAATTAGAAATTTTATAAACGTTGATTTAGAATAGTTTTATTTTGGTGAATTTTTTTGGAACATTGATTGTTGATGCCCAAAACAAAATGGCCGACATTTGTCCGGTTTCACCTTGCCATAAAGTTTTGATCATTCTCAGAGTGAAACATGACTGATCAATATCATAATGATTTTATTTATTAGATAACTAAATCTATATGAATATATTAATTTTGTCCACTAGCTTCCATGTTCAGAAAAGTTATAACATTTATTGTCATGCGGCTCTTGTTGCCTCTGGTGCAAGTTAATCATTGAATTCTTTATAAGGCGATAAAACCACCCTTGCCCCACCTATTTTTCACCCAACATAAAACTTCTAATCCTTTTGTTGGTAACATAGATGACTGTTCTTAGAAATCAGCCAATCAGAGGTGGCATGTTTTGTCATTTATGACCATCATGGTCCAGCAGGAAGGAGATCAAAGAGGAATCAGTAGTCCTATCACTGCCCTACCCTCAACATTCGTCACCTCCTTAAAATAATTACGTCATCACAATGAAACTTCTAATCCCTTTGTAGGTAACATAGATTGCTGCCCTTAGATCTCAGCCAACCAAAGAGAGCATCCCTTATGTAATGTATGGCCCTCAGGGTCCAGCCAGGAGCACAAAGGGGAAATCAGTACCACTGCTCTCCCCTCAACATTTCTCACCTCCCTGTAATGTTATGTAATGTATAGCACACATGGCTTATCAGGGGAAAGTATCCAGGCAGATTAGTTAGTACCACCCCCTTTTACATCCAAGAATCTTTACTCTGAACAGATACACACTGGGTATACTAATGTGTCTATTGTAAACTACTAGACTGTAGGCCCTATGGAGACCAGCAATTGGATAAATTTTGGACTGGGTCCATTGGGGCCTAGTGATAACTGGTATCATTTAAAGTATACACAGCATTAGCTAGTTTGGGGTTAGAAATTAATGATTTTTATTGTGGAGCTAGTCTAAACTAGGAGATATTACTTAGTGCCCGGCAACATTTGCCCCAAATGCTCATTTAGGGAGTTTTGTTACAAATGCTAATTTTAACCAATTTAAAGTAAATTTAATAGCCGTAATTATTATTTTTACATTGTGTAAGATGTGTTAAAATAATTTGGCATTTCAAAATCAGTAAAAATCTTTAAAAATGTACACGTACTAGTGCCCTTCTTTACCCTATATAATATTTTTCCAACATCAAAACAAACTTTAAAAGCAAAGTATTTTTTTTCATGGTCTAAATTTTTATTGGTACAAAGGGATGCTATTTGTATCTTTTTACTTTCTCGTATATACGAAGCATAGAGAAAGTCTTATAATCGTGCAAAAAAAATCGACATTTTTACAAATCTCGACGTTTTAGGGATCCCTGTGTCGGAAAAACATAGTTTTGCAATCTTGTCCGTATGTCTGTGTGTATGTGTGTCTGTGTGTGTGTAAACACGATAACTTGAGTACCGTTACAGCTAGGTTAATGAAATTTCATATATAACTATTATATCAAAATCTTAGATCCGTAGCACTTTTTGAGCGATTTCCGATAACCGGAAGTGGTACTTTTTCTACTTTGAATTTTTCAAAAGCCTATAACTTGAGTACTATTTCACATAGATAAATGAAATTTCACGTGTAAGTAAAAAAACTAATTCTCTACCTTCTATCAAATTTTGAGTAATTTCCGTTGAACGGAAGTAGTAATTTACGCTATTTCCGATTTCCCAAAAAAACTTATGTAAATGTATAAAGTACTAATAATATTGCGCAATATTATGCACATTTTATTTGGCGTTCACTTGGTGTGCAATTCTTTTTTCTACGAGATTTTACTCTATTTTAAAAAGTTTAAGTATTTAAAATGGATTAAAAATCATGTCTGTATCCCGAGTTCCAATCCCCTGTTGTTTTATATAAGAATATTCCAGAAAGTTTAGGGGAGATCACTCCCAGTTTATTTTCAGACAAAATGAGAATTTTTGTGAATGGTAATATATTAATTTTGATTTTGATCTTTGCATACTACGTCGATCAAAATTTAAAACAAAATTTATTTTGAAAATGATTGAGTTTTTTACACATCAATTTAGATTACACAATGGCGATCAACTCGAGTTTTTTTTATTACTATATGCATGTCTTCCACAAACATGCATTACATAACGAGGTACTGAGTCCCCTTTATAGATTCCAATGATAAACAAAGACTAAAAAGCTGAAGAGTCTATAAATAAGAGACAAAATTGCCCCGCGCTGAATGCTGCGCGCCATATTAACAGTTTCTTCCATGCATCTCTTCCTCCCCCCCCCCTTCCGAAGAAAGTTGAATTTATATAGAAAACATACTTTTACCAGTGTCTTCCCCCCCCCCCCCCCCCCCCCGGAGAAAAAAATCTTGAAGAAACACTGCATATTAGACTTAAAATTACGGCGGAAATAAGATCTTAATTAGTGATAACAAATATTTAGTAAACAACGCAGCTTGAAAGGCTTTTAAATAAAAAGAAAAAACCTGGATTATAATAATGAAGAGATCTAATTTGATTCTACCCTCAGTCCCGTTTTTATTTCAAATTGTTAAACAGAGGCGTAGCTAGGGTAGGGTGGCCGAACAGAGTAGGAATTCTTTTTATAAAGCTCATTTTGAGCTGCATTACTTAATTATAATTATATACAGTCGAAGTTAAGAAAATAGACTGTTACTTGGCTTTGAGGGCTTATAAAACTTTTCTGCATCCATTGCCTATCACCAACATCAAATTCGTTAGACAATGTGAATAACTCAATAAATGGGGGGAGGGGGGGGGGGGGGGGGTTAGTCGATAGTTCGCCATATTGAAGCTGACCATTGCACATTCCTAATGGCATACTGAAGTTGACTGTTGCACATTCCTACTGATTTCATATTAAAGCTGACCATTGTACATTCCTTATGATTATGTCATACTGAAGTTGACCATTGTACATTCCTTATGTCGTACTGAAGTTGACCATTGCATGTTCCACATTGTGTCAGACTGTCTGAACATTAAAGCAATAACATTTCTGTGTGCAATATTCCTGATATTTTCAAGCACTACAACAATACTGGTACACGCTGAAGCATGAGCTCAATTTGTTCAATTATTGGTTGCCACTAGATGGAACAAGTTCAAAACAAAAACAAAATTTATAAATATTTTATTTTCAATGTAAATATATTCTAAGTGACACTTGCATTCAGCTTTGATGAATCAGTCAATGAAATTGGACTTGGGTTGAGGGTATCTAGCCAGCATCTGGTTGACTTGCTTACTGGGGTACAAAGAGGAACCTTTGGCTGCAGGAAGACCTTTGGCTACCCTGGCTTTAGCCTCCCTGGCTGCTATCTGGAAACAAGGGGGAGAACACAATGTAAACAAAGGGAGCTCATTGCTGAGTATACTTTGACTATCCAACATGCACAATGGTATCGGATGTTGAGTGTCTGCCAACACTTAACTGTCAAGGTTCACTAAACTCTAACTCTAAAGCTTGCAGCGCCATCCACATTTGGTGAAGCTACCTACAAACATCGAATTCCTGTGACATTGTCATTGAGCTAACATCTAGAATAATAGTTTCACTACTCTGTCACTCTACCTGTCATCAAGGAACAGTATAGAGAAAACACAAGCAAAGTTAAAACTTTCAGTCTAACGAAAAACGAAACGTGGCGTCACAAGGATCATTTAGTTGGATATGTTCTAAAGCAGAAAAAGTACACATAATATGACGTCATTGATTCTAGAGTTAACAGAATTAAAAAGCCAATGCCGAAAAATACACAATAAAATGACGTCATCGATACTTGATAATAAACACTCTCATTACAGTCTAATTCATGTGTCTAATCTTAAAAGTGGTTGGCTTGCATGGCTAAGCCTCCCCGCCAATGGTAGAACGTCTATCTATCGCACCCCTCCCCCCCCCCCCCAAAAAAAAAATATATATATATATATATAATTTATATAGAAAATATATTCTCTTATCAGTGTCGGCCTCCTCCGCACCGGAGAATTTTATTCGCCGCTGCAAAAATTCAAGTGCCCTACTCCCGGAAAAAGCCATAAGTAGGAAACTGGTCCAGATTACAGAAGAAGAGTCTTCCTTTCGTCTGTATGATCTACAATTGTGACCAGTGTTTCTTTCAGACTTGTTTCTCCTGGAACGGGTGGGGGGGGGGGGGGGGACTTGAAATCTTTCCGGGGTAGGGGGGGGGCGGACACTGGTAAAGGTAAATTTTCTATATACATTCTATTTCGTCATAGGAAACTGTAGACGTGCTTCGAAGGTAAGGGAGCTCTGCCCCCCCTCCCCCCCCCCCCCCCCCACTGAAAGAAACTCTAAATGCGAATTTTGTATAGTTTGGGCTAATGTTTGACTACGACTATATTTAGTATCAGTAACTACGTGTAGATCAAGGTTAAATCCGGTTAAAATGCCAATTCTGGGGGGAAAAATCTGTTTCCAATGACACTTTTCGTTTCCGGTTAAATTTGAATTTGAGGTGGTGATTTTAGTTTTGGTTTAGAGAAAAAGGCAATACTATCAACCTAGCGCCCGTTGTATTTCTCCCTCAACGGGCCATTCATCTCGTGAAAAAGTTTACTCCTGTCAAACGAATTTTTACTTTTTATTAAGCTCCTACCACTAGACTTAGCTCGTGCAAATACACTGCAATTCATTTGTACTTCTTATTTTTTAGCCAAATTTTTTATGAGCCCTGGAGCCAGAAGCCGAAAGGCCAAGTTTCATAGAGCCTTTTAGTTTATATGGGGTTAGTTTATTGGGAACTAACTAGTGGGGTCAGTTTGTTGGGGCTAGCTTGTGGGGTCAGTTTGTTGGGGCTAGCTTGTGGGGTCAGTTTGTTAGGAGCTAGCTTGTGGGGTCAGTTTGTTAGGAGCTAGCTTGTGTGGTCAGTTTGTTAGGAGCTAGCTTGTGGGGTCAGTTTGTTAGGAGCTAGCTTGTGGGGTCAGTTTGTTGGGAGTTGGCTTGTTAATTTTTTTTCATGTGATGGTAAATAAAGACCAGATTAGTTGCAATTAGAAAGGGTATGATATTTATATTAAAAAGTCTTGGGAAATAGGCTAATACTTGAAAAAACATTTGAACCAAAATGAAGCATTTTGAAATCCAAACCACATCTTTGTTTATGCTTTAGGAATACCTGCAGGTTGTTAAAATTAGTTTGTATTGTATTTTTTCTTCCACAAACTAAACACGGTCGGGGTCACGACGAGTTCACATAAGTTTTGAAATCAGTTATAGTAGGAACATTGCTATGAAATCAGTAGGTCTGTCGCATGTTATAGCAGGAACATTGCTATGAAATCAGTAGGTCTGTCGCATGTTATAGCAGGAACATTGCTATGAAATCAGTTATAGCAGGAACATTGCTATGAAATCAGTAGGTCTGTCGCATGTTATAGCAGGAACATTGCTATGAAATCAGTAGGTCTGTCGCATGTTATAGCAGGAACATTGCTATGAAATCAGTAGGTCTGTCGCATGTTATAGCAGGAACATTGCTATGAAATCAGTAGGTCTGTCGCATGTTATAGCAGGAACATTGCTATGAAATCAGTAGGTCTGTCGCATGTTATAGCACGAACATTGCTATGAAATCAGTAGGCCTGTCGCATGTTATAGCAGGAACATTGCTATGAAATCAGTTATAGCAGGAACATTGCTATGAAATCAGTAGGTCTGTCGCATGTTATAGCAGGAACATTGCTATGAAATCAGTTATAGCAGGAACATTGCTATGAAATCAGTAGGTCTGTCGCATGTTATAGCAGGAACATTGCTATGAAATCAGTAGGTCTGTCGCATGTTATAGCACGAACATTGCTATGAAATCAGTAGGTCTGTCGCATGTTATAGCAGGAACATTGCTATGAAATCAGTAGGTCTGTCGCATGTTATAGCACGAACATTGCTATGAAATCAGTAGGTCTGTCGCATGTTATAGCAGGAACATTGCTATGAAATCAGTAGGTCTGTCGCATGTTATAGCAGGAACATTGCTATGAAATCAGTAGGTCTGTCGCATGTTATAGCAGGAACATTGCTATGAAATCAGTAGGTCTGTCGCATGTTATAGCACGAACATTGCTATAAAATCAGTAGGCCTGTCGCATGTTATAGCAGGAACATTGCTATGAAATCAGTAGGCCTGTCGCATGTTATAGCAGGAACATTGCTATGAAATCAGTAGATCTGTCGCATGTTATAGCAGGAACATTGCTATGAAATCAGTAGGTCTGTCGCATGTTATAGCAGGAACATTGCTATTTGAGATTGGCTGTGACGCCATACTTTCCCCCCAAGACAAGCAGTACCAAATGCATACTAAAAACTATACTTGGGGTCATGGTGAGGTCACAAGAGCCAACGTTGCTGCAAGGAGGGGCGGGTTAGTCTAGTCCTGATAGTCGCCTTTTGAAATTATTGCACCAATTTGAGGTTGAAAAATAAAATAGAAGCAGAGAGATACTGTAGATTTGGAGAAGCTTTAAAAACAGAGGGTGAGCTAAAATACCTGTAGTTAAGTTAGGATACTGCTTGACTAACATGCATAGGAGATAGGAAGAGGAACAAGGCTCGGGAGATACATATTTAACTGAAACTATCAGCGGAAAACTCGGTCTAAAAGAATTTACGTTCTAAATTCTAAAAAATTCGAAAATCCGCCGAAATTCTGGATCTTGACCTATATTTAATCTAGCAAAGTCCGAACTAGAGAAATTGTCCAATTGAAAAGAAATGCCTGTATTCGACTGTCCTGTTTCACCTACTATCTGCACTGCAAGCCTAGTGTAATACTCGCTTTAAATAGGAATGTGTTCGTTAAATAATAGTATACGAGCCGACCCGCTGCGTATCATACGCCGCTATTTAGTTGTTTTTTTTTTCTACTTTTCAGTAATTTATAATTTGTGAATTCGACAGTACCAATGCTGCCATTGAAAATATTTGCTTAAAAACACTAACCCCCCCCCCCCCCCCACACACATGAAAGCAGCCTCCTCTTAGTTACCTCCTCTAAGTTTAAAATCGTTTCAAACTCAATTATCTGCCCCTAATAGCCGTCACCAAACCCGTCTCTATGATTGTAAAATGTAAACAGAGTGAACACCGCTCACCAGATCATGTGGGGGTGGGGTGGGGGTGGCAGTGATAGCGATAGAGAGGAAGAGAGGGGACTGCAAAGGCGCGCTTGCGGCTTGTTAACACGTTTTTATTAACTCAGCTTCGCGTGTGTTTGTTGTTAAAATTGACATCGAAAATTAGCCCACTTCTGATTGCTCTATAGATCTGAAATTTGGCATGCAGGCTACTTTCGCCTAACAATTTCAGATGCAATCATAAAAACTAGCAATTAGAGACCGTAATTAGCTTAATTTAATTACGCCCTAAGGACCATAAAATTGAGGACATGATTTCTAAAGATACCGACAAGACTGGAGGCCTATTGACACAGTTACTTCGGCCCCAATCGATGTGAGCGCGCTGGCCGTGATCGTATAGTGGTTAGTACTTCGCGTTGTGGCCGCGACAACCCAGGTTCGAATCCTGGTCGCTCAAGATTTTTAGTCCGTGTATTTATAAACACTTAGTCAAGTCATACTTAATCAAGTCATTAGATAAAGTAGAAAATAAACTATATAAAAAACTTTTTTAAAAACTACGTTTTTCATGTGTAGCAACGGACTAAAAAGGAGAAAATAAAATACTTAAAAAAAACTTTTTAAAAAACCACGTTTTTCTTGTGGACTAAAAAGTAGAAAATAACTATTTACATACATTTGATGACAAAAAACGTGGGTCGGGCAGATGGGTCGGGAAATTTGATGGTGAACGTACCCACGTTTTTTGTCATCAAATGTATGTAAATAGTTATTTTCTACTTTTTAGTCCACAAGAAAAACGTGGTTTTTTAAAAAGTTTTTTTTAAGTATTTTATTTTCTAACTGATCCCAGAAGAGAATTATATATATAGATTATTATATACTAGCCATCGGTACCCGTTACACGGGCAATGCTAGTGACTTTTAAATCTCTTCTCTTTACAAATAGGCTACCCGGTTTTTCTTTTAGATATTTATTTCCGGGGAGCGGCATTTAAAACCGTCCGGAGGGTGTGGGGGAATGTGTGTGCGTTGGGAGGGGGGCGGAGCGGATATCGGTTTCTCTATATTTTTTAAGGAATTACTTTTTTTTTCAATTTCGTTCAGAGGTGAAAGGGGAAGAAACGGTAGAGATGCCTGAAGAAAATGTATAAATCTACGGGAAAGTGAGAAATAAAATGAATTGTAATTCAGCTTTTTAAAAAGTCATTATCGGAAACTTAGGAAAAGAAACATTTTATTGATCAAGAGCATTGGAATGAAACGTTAAGATTATGAAAAAGAAGGGGTTTTGTTTTATGTAGGCACTACTGTCTATGTTTATACTTGTTTAAAATAGCGTAGGCTACCAATACCTATTAGAAAAATTAAAACCAAATTATATACAGAATAAGTCAACACAATACCATCATATTAAATGAACTCGATTAAGAGACTTAAAATTTAGAGACGTAAAAGATTTCGTTAAAAATCTAGGCTGTTCAATGGTAGTTATGTTGTTTTTGTCTTTTAAAAACACCTATTTTGACTGAGCATGGGTCTGACCACACTATTCCTTCATATGCTGAAAAGACAGAAACAGGTGAACTCGCCCCGTGTCCCGCGAAGTCCCGATAGACAACTTTATCCTTGACATATAAAGAAAAAAAAAATTAAGATTGGCTTGGTGAGTCTCGAACCACCCACATGGTAGCAATTACAATATCATCTCAGCTATTTAGGCACCTTAGAAATCATGAAGAATAAAAGAGTTAGTTAAGAAACTTAATTTACGAGAATAGGCCCTATTCTTTCAAATTTAATTTTACCCCAAAATAGCAAATTCAATAGCTAAACAAACAAATATTTCTATAAAATAATTAAGGCCTGAAATAGTTTAGTATAGAAATTTATTATTGGAAAAGATTCTAGGTCTAGATACAATCTAGTTCTAGATATCTCTAATCTCTAGAGTCTAAACTCTAAGTCCTAAGTCTAGTTTTTCCGTAGATCTAGAATATCTAGATCTAGTTCCAGAATCTCTAGATTTAGAATCCAAATAGATCAACTAAACTTTACAAGTTTAAGCCGAGAAAATTGTATTGTATATATTTCATAGCGTACGTAGGATCTAGATCTAAATATTAATTTGAATGAAATAGTTCCTTTGTTTATAATCTAAAATCGGAAGATGACGACATTAGTTTTGTGCGCTTTTCCTAGTGTAAACATTTGTGACGTCATTGAAAAAATCGCGTTCTTTTCACAACTATAAACACTTTTCCGGTTGTATAATTAAAATTGTTTTTCTACATTCTAATATGCCTTAATTTTTTTTTTCTTATTTAAATAAAATTTTGTTTATACATTTAAAACATCTATCATATTATTTTCAACAAAAGTCCGTGATCAAGTTCTGAAGATACTGATATGATAGCCTGTGAAAATATTTTGCGGACAGAGTGAGAGAGAGAAAGAAGTGCGCACATGGGCTTTATATATTAGGATTAGGGTTAGGGTTAGGGTTAGAAAATCATTTATTTTCTACTTTTTGATGCATTATTGCATAAAAGCTTGTTATTAAAATGTTTTTTATGAATTTTTCTTTACAAGCATTTGCTTCCTTGTCCAGTCTAAAAAAACTGTTTACGGTGTGTTGTGACAAGATTGAACATTCAGCAGAAATGTGTCATCTGCTAGATTTCTTCCCAATCAAAATACAAGGCAAAATGGACGGGCTTAGTTGGCTGTTATCTCGATCAAGGTATTTTTTTTTTAAGTTTTGTTTTACCCTGCATAATTAGTTTAGAAGGACTTCACATATAATTTTCTATTAACTGCACAAGTTTCAGTGTTTTTTAATAAAAAAATTTAATACAGTAATTAATCTAATGTTTTGCTTATCGTATATTCTGTTCGATATTCTCAGTGATTAGGCAAAAAAAATGTACAACTGGTAAGTTTGCATCAAACACTAATCGTCAGTTGTTAAAACTAGATCAGTATCACTGAAAAATTAGCAAAAATAACAACTATACATTTCTGAAATGACCATGAAGACACATTGTTAAAAACAGAATCACTGTAACGCCGTTTTCGGTGGCCATCATTACTATGACAACTGTAAAAAAAAAAAGCTCAAGCAACAGGCTAATATGTATATTATATTACATATATATATAATTATCTCTCTCTATATATACATATATATGCCTAAATAGGCCTATAAATATAATTGCAATTGATTTCTCCAAATGGCATAAATTTGTGCACACATTATTTCAATCAACCTGTTAATTCAAGTGGACAAGAGCGATATTTGCATAGTAAATTATATTAGATATGGTGTCACCCCCCCCCCCCCCCCCCCCCCCCCCCAACCATGTCGTTGACTGGCTTAAACTGAGAATATTCAACGAAATATTTTTTTCTCGGTAAATGTTGCAAGTGGTGTCTTCATCTCTCATTAAATAATATGAATGTTACATCTCTTAACATTCAATAACATGGATATCTTCATCTCTTATTAAATAATATGAGTGCTAAGTCTCAAAATTTGATGAAGAAACTATAATATTAGGTAAACATTTGATTATGCCACTAATTCCTGAGCTTGACCTAGAACTTTCTGCTGGTTCTATATAAATAAATACCTGAGCTGTTTGGATACAATTGATAAAAACTTGTGTCTCCTTGCTGCATGACGTGGGATTGTAATCTGTAGATTTCCAGCAGTCCATTAGCCTGGACATTTCATTGACACACGATCCAGCTACAAGTTTTTAAAAAAAAATGCTCATTAACACTGCTCAAATTGAACCTCCACTTGGGAAATAAAGTGAACCACAACTTATAAAGAGTAATGGAAATGTTAGTTTAACTCTGCAGCTATGTAAGCTATGTAAGCTGTTTCTTACCTTGTGGTTCATCATGACGAGATGTAATTGAATCTTTAAGTGCTGGGATACGAAGCACCTTAAACCTGTAGCCCAGATCTCTATAATTGGTGAACTTCTTTAGACTACAGGTTTTACAGCAAACCTCAGTTAACTTCATATTTCAAACCTTTCAAAATGGAGCACCACATAAGCTTTCTGTTGATGTTTACAATACAAATTTAGAATTAGCTCAAAAAAATAGCTGACTAGTGTCTTTAAGCTTTTTCAAAAGAAGAATAACAAGAAAACAAATGACTGGACCAACTATTACAGAAAAAAAACATATTTTGTTTGTCTTCCTTATTATTATGTCTTGTGAAAAACATAACGCACACGACTCAATGAGCCCATACAACTAGCTGTTATAGTTTAGCTCAGATTTAGTTTACATGGGTTAGATATGGATATCTGGCAGTGATGGAACTGTGGCTAACAACTGGGTGCAGTAGATCCAAAACAATTTCTGGCAAACAAGCCTCATCAAATAAGAGTAGTATTTTTCAACAAATGCTATTGTAAGACGAGTGTATTATTATCTAAGACAAGAGTATTATTAATATGTCTACAAGGGGTGGGGAGGGGCAGTCATAAATTCAAATGAACCACTAGCAAACACACAACCAAAATCATGCGATATTTATATGCAGGGCCAAGTTGGCCTGCTAGTGCTAGATCTAGTCTCTCATGGAAATGTCTTCAACTATTCAGGATTGGTATCTATTTTGATGATCAGTTCATAGACAATATAAATCCTAAAACACCCGTGTGCACACCCCCCCCCCCCCCTCTCTCTCTGTCCTGAGGCTATGAGATGAGTATCTTGAACAATATATGGAGAACTTAATGATACAGACTTTCACTGAAAATAATATGTTGGTTGTATTAAAAGTATAACCTTAATTTTTATTAACAGAAGGAAAATTAATTTTTACTAATAGCAGGGTTCCCATAATTTTTTGACCAGGAAATTCCCTGCTATTTTTTAAATTTTTTTTAAAGTGAATCACATCCTAAAATTCAATCCCAAAACTTAAATTTTTAAACCTTGAAACTTATTGCCACAACAGAAATTTAAAATAAAATTTGACAATAATAACTTACTTTTTGAGAAATTTGATTCATATCTATCTATATATATAATTCTCTTCTGGGAGCCGTTAGAAAACAAGCTGCAAGCGCCTCCTTGCAGTCCCCTCTCTTTCTCTCTATCACTATCACTACCACCCCCACCCCACCTCCACATTGTCTGGTGAGCTGTGGTCACGCTAAATGTTTACAAAGCTAAATGTTTACAAATCATAGAGCCGGGTTTCTATTAGGGGCAGATAATTTAGTTCGATTTTAAACTTACAGGAGGTAACTAAGAAATAACTAAGAGGAGGCTGCTTTCACAGGGGGGGGGGGGTGTAGGGTCGGGGTTAGGGGAAAGGGGGGGGGGTTAGTGTTTTAAAGCAAATATTTTCAGTGGCAGCATTGGTACTGTCGAATTCACAAATTATGAATTACTGAAAAGTAGAAAATAAAAACAACTAAATAGCGGCGTATGATACGCTGCGGGTCGGCTTGTATATATTATTCTCTTCTTGGATACCCTAGAAAACACCAAGCTGAAAGCGCCTAGCAGACCCCTCTCTTCCTCTATAAGCATATCCCTACCACCCCCACCCCCACATGGTCTGGTGAGCTGTGGTTCACGCTAAATGTTTACAATCGTAGAGCCGGGTTTAGTGACGGCTATTAGGGGCAGATAATTTAGTTTGAACCGATTCTGGGTAGGGTTTGGGTGAAAGGAGGGGGGGGGGGTGTATCGTCCTAAACGACCTACTGATAGTGTTTTAAAGCAAATATTTTCAGTGGCAGCATTGTTACTGTCAAATTCACAAATTATGAGTTACTGAAAAGTAGAAAATAAAATAACTAAATAGCGGCATATGATACGCCGCGGGTCGGCTCATTATGTTATATTATACATTCCTTTAGTGATTTAAACTTTATAACAATTTTTAAACAAAAATTAATAATTAAAGGATTGTACATAGTATATAACAAAAACAGTTTAAAATAGTACTCATCTTGATCCCATAATGTAATATTACATTTCTTGAACCTCCCTCAATACAAAACAACTGTTTATGTTAATACAATTAATATTAATATAGTTAGTTAAGCTGATAGTAGTCACACTTTGAAACCTAATCTTAAAGACAATAAGTTTGAAAAATTCCCCTCATGTTATTAATTAATATTTTAATATAGATAATTAAATTTTTTTTAAAAAGGTTCTATTATTTTCAAATAGATCGTATTTTGAAAAAAATAAACCATCTAAGCCAAGCAGATCTATAATCATGAGCTAGAGGACCCCCCCCCCTCCTCAAGTTAGAATCCTAACTTTAACTTAAATTCCATACCTATATAGAAAAAGACAAAAAAGACAAAAACCTAAGCATTCATCTCAGCCTAAAACTTAACACAAGACAAAAACCTAACTTTTAAGCCTAACCTTGACCATAACACTAACCCTAGCCATGACTATAACACTAACCCTAAATCGAGCCCAAACCATAACCCTAGCTGTACCTTAAGCTGTGGGGGGGGGGGGGGGGGGGTAATTGGCAAGGGGGAATGCCCTGTTTCCATAATCATGACAATAGTAAACACATCAATATGTATGCTTTTCAAATTGTCTTAGACTGCTATTAAAAATTGATGGTATGGCTCCCCCCCTCCCCCAACTAGACACTGTAGGGAGGTCATTGTGAAGGCCTATACCATATGTCATAACATGAACAATAGCTATTTGAGATAGCCAATGACATCTTTTTATTCCCCTCCCCCACCCTAAAAAAATTACAAACAAGCTGTATTGACACACATGGGCCTACTTGGGGTCACAGTGAGTTCAAGAAAGCCTTATTTACTCCAGTTGTTACCATTTTTATCTCCCCTCCCCAATGAAATAATTGTAGTTGACCAATATCTGCATTTGAGATTGTAGGTGATGTCACTTGCCTTTATTTTTTTTCCATGAATGCAATAACAGCTGGCTTTCACAATTTTTTTTAAAATCTGTGCACTCTCAAATTCAGTATCACTGGCTAACCGTGAAATAGTCTGCTTAAACGGTTATCATTAAAATAGGTGATAAGCCTAAAAAACCATCTGAAGCCTAAACTAAATTTTATACCAATCCTGGAAAAAATAATTGAAAAAATGACGATACGCCAATGTTGAGTAACCCTATGCTAGCATAGCAGTAGATGTTTGTGTCATATACTGTTGCGTGATTGGCGGAAAAGAGATCAACAGTAAAAAGAGATCAACAGTAAAAAGGATGCGGAGTCTTAATAATAACAACGAATCCTAGAATCATGTCAAAATTTTTTTTTTGTTTTTTAACTTCAAACCCGGCCATTTTAAAACTCAAATTTTGCTAACCTGGAAAGGGATAAACCAGAAAAGTGTCACCCTTGCAAAAATCTGTAGTTATGATGTGATTTTAACTAATTGCTCCAATTTGACAAGACTAGTTTTGTGCGCCTAAATTCTGATCCATGTCAACAGGCGAGACTACATTGGGCTAGACTTAAGGGGGGGGGGGGGGTGAAAAAAAGTTCCCGGCTAATATGAAAATATCCTGGCTATTCGTCGGGTTTCCTGACCAGAAATATTTACGAACATCCAAGGTCATTTTCTCGTCAACTTTGGGAACCGGATCTAAAAATGGTTGTTACAGAAAATCCTAGCTAGGCAGTGAGGCACCAATAATTAAAATTGAACTATAACCATCAAATTAGTGCCTGGTTGGTTAGAGATATATCTCTACGCTTGATTTTAATGCTATTGTAAAAGAATAATAGTGGCCGTATAGGCCTACCTATTACCAAACATTACTAATTATTAATAAATAAAATAATTAAGGTTGCTTAGGCCTGGTGAAAGTTCAAAGGGGTCATTCATAAATGACGTCTTGTTTTTTTGGACGATTTTTACCTTCCCCCTATGCCCGCACATATCATCACAAAAAACCACACCCACCCCCTAAAATTACATCACACCTCAGCCTACAAACATCTCCCCCTTCCTCAAAATTGCAGTTGAGTTTTTCTTAAAACATTGATATTTTTCCAAAATCTTGTATGAATTCTGTCAACATTGAGTATTTTAATCAATTTCTATTATAATTTATTAAGTGTTCTAAAACTCGAAATAACTGCTAAATATGTTTTCTAATGCTTTTTTATAAGGCAAAAGTGTGATGTCACACCATCTGAACCCCCCCCCCCCTCCCCCCGATTTCCCTCTCATCATACACCTGTCACAAAATTACTGACCCCCTCTCCCTTCGAGTGTGACGTCATTAAATACATTTATTAGGCCCTTCGATTCACAGCTTCCGAGTTTTTTTTGTTTTCGTGTCATCAAACGGCCAATGCACTTACTAAAATGGCAACCAGTTTTGCTTTCACTGCGAAGTAGAGGGATAAACTAATGATTATGAAGCCATCGTCAATTGTAGAAATCTGAACTATCCATTTCTATTTAAGTATGTTACTTAAGAATTGTCAGGTGTACTTTTGACCTAATTTCTTTGTTTATCTCGCAAGCGGCGCCTTAGCGAAACTAGCTCTATTTTCTTATCTTTCAAAGCAAATAAATGTAAAATACCGCTTGAATATTAAACCAGATTTTGTAAATATTTAACTTGAAAGCATTAATTTTACACACATTACAATTACTTGGTAATAGATTATTGTGTAAATGATCATCACTCAATAATGCCATTTTATTATAATCTTTTTTGGTGAAAACGAGGCATGGGAAAAAGTGTGCTGCGCAAGAATCTAATCATTTGGCTAGATTTATGACTATTTTTTTACGAAGTGACTACGCATCTCACAGAGCGTGGCCCGTAACAGAGCGACTATGAGTCTCGCAGGTTGGATTTGCCATCTAGTGATTGAAAATGCTTACTTTTTCCTTCTCCAACACATCCGGTGTGGTTGAGTCAACAGTATGCCAGCCGTAGAATGTTCATAGACCCGAAGCTCCAAGTTCGAACCCTGGGTCAGCACGACTGGTACTAGCGTCTTTTTTACATTTTATTTTTTTCATATTGAAAATATGACATGTGATTCTCTTATTTTAAATAAAATTTCCAAACATCATCACTGGCGTGATTGCTTGCTTGCCCTACGTTTACTATCCCGTTAGTGGAAAATACCACCACAGCCCACGGTCGGCGAGGTCAATGTGAGTTCAGCAGGCCTAAAGCATACGTCATAGAATGAACCCAAGATTGTCTGTGTCTTCACTTCTCTCTTCCTCCCCCCTTTTCCCCTCAAGAAAATTGAATTTTTTTTTAAGTTCACATAGGATAAATAATATAGACTTAGATCTACTATCACGCATGCTGGATAGCTGTTAAAACAATTTACTAAAGGACAGTTTGATTTAGCTCAATTGCTGCTAGATCTAGGACTATCATCTTACCCACTACTGACACTGTTTTTTTTTTACAAGTACTAGACTAGATCTAGATTCTTAGATGTTGAAATAATATAAATATACTTAAACTAGATTTAGATCTATGTCAACATTAAATTGCTACCACGAAAAAAAAAATCGGGCAGTCCTGATACCTGTTTTGTTTTTTAGATTGCGTGCCACCAAGGGTAAAAATTTTAGCGTAACGCGGAGCAAACTGCGCAAATGCAGCCATTATTTTATGTCATACCTAAAAATAGAATGTTTACACTTTCTTCATTGATGATCGTTTTTATTATTTTTTATTAGTTAGATTGCAGGTTTTGTAATGGTATACTTACCCTTTATCAATTTAAAAAGCATAGCATGCTGATTGTGTACAAATATAATCATTAAACACAGAAATATAAAGTTCCAATAGTGATGTGCCACACCCCCTCAAGAAAGCACGTAAGCTGTTTATCTCACTTTACTTTACAACAGTAATTAAGCCTACAATTAATTTTCAAATTTTTATCACTTATTTGGGTAAGATTAAGTAGGCCTACACTTTTACTTGTAATGTTTTAATTTTTAATGAAGGTCACAAGTCAAGTATTTTTTCCTTGTCAAGTTCAGTGAAGGGTGCAACAGGCCGACTTGACTTTGGAATTTTTTTCAGTAATATTAATTTAATAATGACTTGGCACATGAAGTTAATAGGGCCTATATGCTAAACTGAATTCAACTAAATTGGCTTAGTTTAATAGTGTGCTAGCTATTATTTATTATTGATAGGCTTCTTTTTTTTAAGCCTAGATTATCTAGTAATATCTAGATCTAGAGATCTATTTAAAAAATAATTCTGAAATTCTCATTTAAAAAATGCCAACTATGCGTAACAAAACAAGAATTAGTCTTTTGCACAGACTTCGAGTGACTTGGACTAAGAGTAAAATTAGATCTAGATCTAGATCTAAAAAAAAGTTATTACCCCTCAGCCTTTCAGATCTAGATTCTAGATCTAGACTAGATTCTAGACTATTCTTAAAACTTAAAGTCTATCAATTAGGCCTAGGCCCTAGATCTACGAGTACGATGTGTAGATTTATAAACTTTTAACTTCTAAATTGAAGATCTGAGGTTATTTCGCTAAATTATAAATTGAATTATTTTATAATTAAATCTATTCCACTTCAATTCCTATATTCCTTTTATTAGCTCTTATTCAAACCTACATGGGAATATTAGGGCCTAATGAATATATATTATATATTTATGAGTGACTTTTATTAAGCTTTTAATTTATTTAACTTACTTTCTCGAACTTTTGTTTGTCTATCACTCACTCTATGGGTCGAAACGGACGTGCACAAATTCGACCTCTTTTAACAGGCCAATTTCTGGTAATCTACCGTTTTAGGTACGTAAAAAAATCGCCCGCGACTGGTAATGTGAAAAACAGGTGACTCCTTAAATTTTAATAATTATTTCACATTTTGAGAAGGATTTATGTTTTGAAAAATACAAAAATGTTTCCTTGTTTCTTTTATGTACCTGATTTTAAACAATTGAATTAAAACTTTTCAGTAATAAATGAAGACTAGCGATGTTTCCAACAGATGCAACCATGCTCATTTACTATAGTAGCCATCTTGTTAATTTTTTTACAGTAAACTTATAGCGCAAGATTCAGGGGAAGCCACTTTAACTTACAGATGGCCGCTTTTATATAGCAAATCCTGCTCGCAAACACTGCGGTTAAAATATAATTTCTTGCCTATATTGATATATTTAGCCATTGATTTAGGTTTATTATTCATTTATCTATAATATTTGACACAAATATATCACAATATACTTCTATTAAAGCCTTGACAATGAGTTAACTTTTTTGTACATTACTAGCCGCGGGCGATTTTACATACCTAAAACGATAGATTACCCAATTTCTTTCACACTTGCTGGTACGTGGGTCAAGATCAGATTTAATTGGATGCTTATTTCATTTTCAAGGAACTAATTAAAGTTTCATATAAAAAGTACTATTTTCCACGCTATTATACGCAAATTGTGTGTGTGTGTGTGTGTTCATTTGTTGTGCATTTGTTTTTAGTCAAAGCAAGTCCATGAACTGAAAAGTCTTGAGTTCGAACCCCAGAGCAGATGAGGCTCAATAGCTGGATAGAGCAACCCATCTGAGAAAGAAAAGCATAAAACTACACCTGACAGGGCGCTATGCGTTTTTACAGAGGGTCCATATAGAGGGGGGGGGGGATAACCAACTCAGAGTGAACATAGCGTCAGTTTTTAGATGACTGTTCTAAACATACATATACACTTATACATATATACTGATTCAGAAATAGATTTAAATAAGCAACAGTGGTATTATTGGTATTATGACAATAAAAAACTTTTTTACAGAGGGGTCCATGGGGCGATTGTAACCCCCCCCCCCCCCCCTCCCTCCAACAACCATGCCTACACCACTGGTGTAAATTACTACTTCCGGTCAACGGAAATAACTCAAAATTTTACTTTTTTGTGAAATTTTGTTAATCTATCTGAAACAGTATTCAAGTTTCAGGCTTTTGAAAAACTAAAGTAGAATACGTTCCACTTCCGTTTATTGGAAATCGTTGAAAAGTGGATACAGAACTACACATTTGTTTGCTTTAAATTGATGCGCAATTTGTTTTTCTACGAGATTCTCTTCTATTTTAAAAGTATGTAAAATCTAATATATAAAACTCAATTCTGTATGTAAAAATAAGTTTGTTTGACGTTGACATACTTCCATGGATTTAAGTGTTAGACTATTATCGTGCTCATAGTCTAAATTTATGAGTTTAAAAATTACTATTGAAAGTGTTGGGAAATAATTTTCATTTTTCAAACTGATAGTAATAATTGTCGGCATGTTCATTAAACATAATTTTTTAAAAAAAATAAAAAAAATTCTAATTATGTCTGAAAATTATTTATATTTAGTCCTTTAGCACTTACTTCCGTTTGATAAATTAGGAAAACACAATTACTTCCCTTTATAAAACATTGCATTAGTGGAAAAGAATTTACTTTTTATTACTTTGCTTTGGTGTTGGGAAAAAAATAATTACATAATTAGCGGGGATTGTTCAAGTGCAAATGTTGTAGGTATTTTACAAATAAGCTTGGAGTATTATAATTGTTCATTTGGTTTGGTTTGGCACCTACGTTCGTTTAAGTGAGTGCAAAAGACTATGAATAAGTTGGGGTACTGTAGTCGATTATTAAGCTGAAACAGGCGATTCTGCCCCGGGCTAGACTGTGAGCACTTTGCGTTTATGTTCGCGTTAGTGTTTTCTTTGTGTTTAGGTTGCGTTTGCGTTAGTAGTTGCGTTTTGATTTGGTTCGTTTTTGTTCTTTCTTTTTTCGTTTTCGTTTGTGTTTTTTTCTTTGGGTTTGTGTTTGTATTTGTGTTTGTGGTTGGTTTTGCGTTTGGATTTGGTTTGTTTTCGTTTTCTTTTTCGTTTGTGTTTTTTTCTTTGGGTTTGTGTTTGTGGTTGGTTTTGCGTTTGGATTTGGTTTGTTTTTGTTTGCTTTTTCGTTTGTTTTTTCTTTGTGTTCGTATTGGTGTTTGTGGTTGTGGTTGGGTTTGTTGTTAGGTTTTTGTTTTCATTTGCTTTTTTGTTTGTTTTTTCTTTGTGTTTGTATTGGTGTTTGTGATTGTGGTTGGGTTTGTTGTTAGGTTTTTTGTTTTCGTTTGTATTTGTAATTGTGTTAGCGTTATGTTTGCGTTTTGTTGTTTTGGTTGGTTGTGGTTTGGGTGGGCAATGCCGGGTTTATGATGATTACTAAACACACAGGTAATGGTCTTTAACAGAAAGGTTTTTCACAGAAGCCAGAGCAGGGCCTGGCCGGGACGGCTAGTCTAATATATAAAGCTCAATTCTGTATGTAAAAATAAATTTGTTTGTCGTGGACATACTTCCATGGATTTAAGTGTTAGATTATTATCGTGCTCACAGTCTAAATTTATGAGTTAAAAAATTAATACTGAAAGTGTTGGGAAATAATTTTCATTTTTCTAACTGACAGTAATAATTGTCGGCATGTTAATTAAACACAATTTTAAAAAAATATCATCTTTTACAAAAAATCTAATTATGTCTGAAAATTATTTATATTTAGTCCTTTAGCACTTACTTCCGTTTGATAAATTAGGAAAACACAATTACTTCCCTTTATAAAACATTGCATTAGTCTCATTACGGGAAAAGAATTTACTTTTTATTAATTTGTTTTGGTGTTGGGAAAAAATAGTTACATAATTAGCGGGGATTGATCAAGTGCAAATGTTGTAGGTATTTTACGGATAAGCTTGGAGTATTATAATTGTTCATTTGGTTTGGTTTGGCACCTACGTTCGTTTAAGTGAGTGCTAAAGACTATGAATAAGTTGGGGTACTATAGTCGTTTATTAAGCTGAAACAGACGATTCTGCCCCGGGCTAGACTGTGAGCACTTTGCGTTTATGTTCGCGTTTGTATTTTCATTGTGTTTAGGTTGGGTTTGCTTTAGTGGTTGCGTTTTGATTTGGTTCGTTTGTGTTCTTTCTTTTTTCGTTTTCGTTTGTGTTTTTTTCTTTGGGTTTGTGTTTGTATTTGTGTTTGTGGTTGGTTTTGCGTTTGGATTTGGTTTGTTTTCGTTTTCTTTTTCGTTTGAGTTTTTTTCTTTGGGTTTGTGTTTGTGGTTGGTTTTGCGTTTGGATTTGGTTTGTTTTCGTTTGCTTTTTCGTTTGTTTTTTTCTTTGTGTTCGTACTGGTGTTTGTGGTTGTGGTTGGGTTTGTTGTTAGGTTTTTGTTTTCGTTTGTATTTGTGTTAGCGTTATGTTTGTGTTTTGTTGTTTTGGTTGGTTGTGGTTTGGGTGGGCAATGCCGGGTTTATGATGATTACTAAACACACAGGTAATGGTCTTTAACAGAAAGGTTTTTCACAGAAGCAAGAGCAGGGCCTGGCCGGCTAGTTTGATTCTAAAAAATTGCATAAACACAATTTAATAACAAGCTTTTATGTAATTGAAACATTGCCTTAGTAGGGATGTGGTGTGATGTCACCCACTGAGGTGTAGCGTTTTTAGGGCTGACCCTGAGAGATAATACAAATACGATTAATGCAGATAGATCCTGGCTTTATTGCACATACGGCAAGTCCGTATACGCTAATTCAGTAACGTCAAATATATGTACAGCAAATCCATACACGGCATATAGCCCTAAAATAAATGTAAAGAAACAATAGGTTACATATCTGAATACACTACCCCGTGTAGGCTATAACATAGATACACGGGTGTCATAAAATAGAAGGTTACGGCCAGTATACAATACTGCCAGCAAATATTATAAATTAATAAATATAAATACTTCACCTACCAAGAGTCCCAGAGGTCATACGACACTGGAACACGGGGAACATCGCTCACAGAAGAGCATGGTGGGACCGCAACCAAATTAGTTACGAATTATCACCCCTGACTGGTAATCCATTGTATGTGTCGCATAATAATGCTTTAAAAAGGAGAATATAAATCATTTTCTTTACATATATAATAATACACAATTATTTGATTTACTATTTTAAAAAAGCGCGAATTACTATGTTATCTATTGGATACTTTTACTACTATTTAGGAAGAGAACCACGCTTCTCTCTCTCTCTCTCTCTCTCCCTTCCTCTCTATTTCCCTGTCTCTCTCTCTCAATCTCTGTCGCAAAATATTTTTGCGAGGCTATGAGATCAATATCATTAGATCAGTATCTCTTTAAAGATATATAAAATAGCGTAGTCATACTTCCGTTCACCGAAAATCACTAAAACTTAAAGAAAATCAAAAGAATATGTTCTTATACATATGTTTAAAATTTCGTCTACATAAAAGAACGGTACTAAAGTTATTTGTATAATAGAATCCAGAAATAAAGTAAAATACCACTTCCATTTATCGGAGGTCACTAAAAAAACTGAAAATAATCCAAGTATCTAACTACCTGGAACAGTGCTCAAGTTAAGTCTTCTCACAGAAATAAAGTACGACTTTCGGTTACCGGAAATCATTCAAAATTTGATCGAAGCACCAAAAAAAAAAAAAAAAAAAAAAAAAAAAAGCACATCGTACCATGCAGTGCTTTTTCGTTGCATCGCATTGACTTATTATAAGTAATAGAGTAGAGTTTGTTTATATAACGACTTAAATTAATTTATAGTTGCCACAGTTTTTACACTTTCGAATAACGTGAAGAAAATATAAAATACACGCACATTGCTAAAACATATTTTACGGAACAATGTCAAAAATAAATTTCGTTTAGATTCCTAGAAAAAGTGGATACATTTCATAACAGTAGGGTCGAAAAAAAGTAATCAATTAAAATCTTTTAATAGTTAGGCCTGGGGAGGTAAGTAAATCCAACTCACGCTAATAAAAAAAAGTGAATGCAAAATGCGGACGTGTATGATATTATTATTGTTGGAATATTATAATTAGCATGGGTTGATATTTAAGTTGTGTTTATGTTATGCGTTTGCGTTAGAGTTTTTGTTTGTGTTTTTTGTGCTTGCATTTGTGTTTGCGTTGTGTTTGTGTTTTCTTTTGTGTTTGAGTTTGTTTTTCCTTTTGTGTTTGTGTTTGCGTTTGTTTTTCCGTTTGTGTTTGCGTGTTGCGTTTGTGTTTGTATTTTCGTTTGTGTTGTTTTGCGTTTTCATTGTTTTTGTGTTTGCGTTTTCTTTTGTATTGTGTTTGTGTTTTCTTTTGTGCTTGCGTTGTGTTTGCGTTTGTGATTAGTTTCGTTCTGTTCCTAAGTTGGTACATTTAAAAAAGATTGTAGTGAATTTGTTAGAAATGCGTCAATTGTGCTTAGTAGGGCAAGAAGAAAAACTCGTATCTTAATAAATACGTGTTAATATAGCATGAAAATTAGATGAGCTATTAGGCAAAGCTAGAACTTTCATTAGAATATCTTAGTGTTAGTTAGGACCAAGCCATTATTATGGAAATCTACTTTAATTAGGTATATGTGATATTTTCACGTTATTTGCGTTTGAAGTATTATTGTTTAAAAACAACTTATTGATGTTATATATAATTTGTATCTTTGTGAAGCGAATTGTCTGTGGTTTCAGCTAAGTTTAATTGAATTTTAAGAGATCGCGTCAAGTTTTTATATAGAGTTATTTGGGCTAGGTTAGCACAAAAAAAAGGGAAATTTTCACAGGTAAGCGCTAGAATTCGTGCCGAGAACAATGTGTCATCCGAGACGATCGCGGGTGGGGGTTTATAAACCGGTGGTTTAGCCTTAGAGGGGATGGAGAAACGACGGCTCTAGTCAGTTATTTATGCATCACACGTGTTGGCGCTATAGTCTTTTTAGATGCGCGCTACACAGACCATTCCCGGTCAAGAAAGATAAAAAAAAAAAAAAAGATTTGCAGAAGACGACTTATTCTTCATCATTTTTTATCGTCTGTGACGGAGAGTGAGAGCGAGAAAGAGAAGAAAAACATTTAATTTGATAGAAGCAAGAATATTAAATTTGGTGGCAGCAAACACGTCACATTTTGGTGGCAGTGAAAACGTAACATTTTGTGGCAGTGAAAAAACACCACAAGATTCGCCGTGCCAAAGCACGGGTATGCAGCTAGGTGAATGCAAATTCTGCGGACGTGCAAAGACATAATTGTTAGAATATTTTAATTAGCATGGATTGATAAAATGCACCGTGGTAGGTAAAACACGGATATTTTAAATATTGCCTTTGGTCTATTTTATGGATAAGTTGGAGTATTGTGGTTGTTTACTAAGTTGAATCAGGCGGTTCCGCCGGCGCCCCGCTGGGTGCAATTTAACGCCCCGGACGAGACTGTGAGAACTATGTGTTTATGTTTGCATTTAAGTTGTGTTTATGTTATGCGTTTGCGTTTCTGTTTGTGTTTTTTTTGCGTTTGCATTTATGTTTGCATTGTGTTTGTTTTTATTTAGTGTTTGCATGTTGCGTTTGTGTTTTTGTTTGTTTGCGTTCGCATTGTGTTTGTGTTTTCTTTAGTGTTTCCGTTTTCGTTTGTGTTGTGTTTGTGTGTAGTTTTGTTCTGTTCCCAAGTTGGCAAATTTAAAAAAGATTTACCGTGGCAGAGCACGGGTATGCAGCTAGCTAGTAGTGTGAAAAAAAGTTGCCTCATTGTTAAGGCTTTAATAGAAGTAGTATATTGGGATATATTTGTGTAAATATTATAAATAATAATAAACCAAAATCAATGGCTAAATATATATATATATATATATATATATATATATATATATATATATATATATATATATATATATATATATATATATATATATATATATATATATATATATATATATATATTAAAGGTAATCTATCGTTTTGGGTACGTAAAATCGCCCGCGGCCAGTAGTGTACGAAAACGTTACCTCATTGTCAAGGCTTTAATAGAAGTATATTGTGATATGTTTGTGTCAAATATTATAGATAAATGAATCATAAACCTAAATCAATGGCTAAATATATTAATATAGTAGTATAGGCCATAAATTAACTTTAAACAGCAGTGTCTGCGAGCAAGATTTACTATTCACTATATAAGCAGCAGCCATTTGTAAAATAGAGTGGCTTCCCCCTGAATCTCGCGCTATCTATCTATATATATAATTCTCTTCTGGGAGACGTTAGAAAACAAGCTGCAAGAGCGCGCCTTGCAGTCCCCTCTCCTCCTCTCTATCGCTACCCCCCCCCCCCACCCCCCCCCCCTCACATGGTCAGGTGAGTTGTAGTTCACTCTGAATGTTTACAAAACAATCGTAAAGCAGGGTTTGGTGACGGCTATTAGGGGCAGATAATTCAGTTTGAAACTATTTTAAACTTAGAGGAGGTAACTAAGAGGAGGCTGCTTTCACGGGGGGGGGGGGGAGATTGGGGGTTTAGTGTTTTAAAGCAAATATTTTCAGTGGCAGCATTGGTACTGTCGAATTCACAAATTATCAATTACTGACAAGTAGAAAAAACAACTTAATAGCGGCGTATGATACACCGCAGGTCGGCTAGTAACTTTATAAAAATAAAACTTACGCAAGATGGCTGCTATGGTAAATGAGCATGGTTGCATCTGTTGGAAACATCGCTAGTCTTCATTTAATACTGAAAAGTTTTAATTCAATTGTTTAAAAACAGGTACATAAATGAAACAAGGAAACATTTTTGTATTTTAAAAAACATAAATCCTCCTCAAAATGTGAAATAATTTTTAAAATTTAAGGAGTCACCTGTTTTTCACATTACAAGTCGCGCGCGAGGTAATCGATCGTTTTAGTGTATTCAATTCGGCTGCAGTAGTAATGTGCGGGAGAGGTAACTGATGAATATATTTGTTTAAATATGTTTATTTAAGTCAAATTTTTCAAAATATCAAAGATAATTGATTTAAAATAACAATCAGTGACCAAAACAATTTAAATAACATGAAATTAACTTTAAACTAGGTGTTTGTTGAGATAAATATTAGTAGAAAAAAACAGCGGCCATCTTTCCAAATAAAATTTAGAGTAGTTTCCCTTGATAAAAATGTCTATTCGTATGTATATTGTGTTGACTTTGTTGTTTAATATACATACCTGTCTTGTTTAATATAAGTAAGACAGAGGGCCGTCTTCTTATCTTTACTTTTAAGTGAAAAGAAGGCTATGTATGTATGTACATCCAAGATCTCAAAAATTTTTGGGAGGTCCAACATTTATTAAACCCTTTAGTACTGATTAACTTGTCAATGGACACCAGTGAGTTGACGAAAATCCTTCCGTAATGTTGTTGACATGGAATAACAATGTGCTTTTTTTAGATTTAGGACCATAAAAATAATAAAAGATAAAATTTTATTAAAAACTTAAGCCTAAAATTAATTCAGAAATTTAATATTTTTAGAATCAATGCTATACAAGTTGCAGATCCAGAGAACTTGAAAATAATTTGTTGAGTTTAAGTTTAAGGCTACATTTCTATTTTCATCAAGCCTAAGTTATAACCCGACGTTTCACTTTCGTAAGACAAACATTGATTGGCTGTAAAGGAACTCCGTGATCGATTTCTGACAGCCCCACTTTATAGTTATTTTGTTTACAAAACTTTGCAGATCAAGTTTTTAAATAACAATGCAAATTTAATCACCGTGACCTAGTTTTTCTATTTTTAGCTTACAATGTGTACAATAAAATTTATGGCGGCCTATCGAATAGCAGGATGCCATTGTTTATGTCGCCATTACACGTGAAAACCAAATTGTTTTTCCTTTTTTTTTTTATTTAGTTACCGAAAATATTAAAAACATCAAATACATCCAATCTTTAGTAAGTCCGAAAAAACCAGACAGACAGGATTTTATAACCATATTAATTGTAACTTTGGACTCAAAATATGGGACGGTGTAAAATATTTTTTTCAAAAATGATGAAGAATATATTCGTTTTCGTTAGAAATTGTGATTAAGGGTTCGGGTATAGTAGAACTGCGATATGATATTAAATCATCATCTTGCTTTTAGTAACTATTGGGTAAGAGGGAAATCGTCGGGAAAAGTATGACGTCATTTATGGGCGATCCATTTAATTAAGCCTAGTTGTTTATTTTGTCTGTAGACATTAGTCTTAGGCCTACACTTTTTCTGAATTAAGATTATTGTGTTTTTTTTAATAGGTTCAAATTTTAATTAGTTCCATTTGAATACCACATGGTTTGTTGTTTTTTTTTTCTTTGCCTCCTGCTGTCATCAGTTTTTTTTTTTTATTTCTTCAGTAGTCAATGTTTACCCCTCCCCACCATCCATTATTACAACAACAAAAAACACCCACTATATATGTCATAGCGTAGATATATAGAATTAGACGAGTAGTGGTTACTAAGCACGGTACGAACTGGTGAACGGAAAAAAAGTCACAAAAAAAAAAAAACACAGAAAAAAAGTCACAGTTTTTGCTAGAAAAAAAGTCACGGAAAAAAAGTCACAATGGAAAAATTTTATCGGATAAAAGTCACAGAAATAAAGTCACAGAAAAAAAGTCACAAAAATCTTTTTAGAAAATATTTAGAAATATTTTGAATTAATTTGTTAAGAATTGTAAAATTTTGTATGTTTATTGTTGTGGGTTGTATTTTTTTGATAGCATAAATTATTTATAGACGTTAAAAGCATCATGGTTTTTAAAAAGTGTAAGTAAAAATACTCTAAGATAATTTACACAACAATCTCAATTTTTGTGACGTATTTAGTTAAATACGCGGTAGAAAAGTTAATTATAAAAGAAATTTAGGCACATTGTGTTTTTCATATGTTTTGCCGCAGGCTATTCTCTGGTCGGCCTTCCTTCAGCAGGCATGGTCCGAACATATTTTGTGTTGTTGACGTTATGCGTCAATGACAGCCTTTGAACCCAGTGTTTCTTCCAGACTTTTTTCTCCGGGGGGGCACTTGAAATCTTCGGGGGGGGGCGGTAAACTTTCTTCGGGGGGGCGGACACTGTTAAAAGTATATATTTTCTATATAAATTATATAAATTTCATTTCGTTCGGGGGGGCGGTAAAAATTTTTCGGGGGGACTTCGCCCCCCCGAAGAGATGCCTGGAAGAAACTCTGTTTGAACCTTGTCGGTTTTCTGTTTTGATCCTAAGTTTTGTTATGTAATGAGCGTGATAAATATGGGCAGTAAAGGGGGTTGCACTAAGCATAACTATTGTTGCGATGAGTTGAGGGCGGTAATTCAGATGACCTTACCATTTCACGGTAATTTAATTTAAAAAAAACACGATGAAAACCGTGGAAATTCTATTAAATGCTATAAATATTATGTTTAACATAATTACAATCTACATAATTCATACTGAATATTTTAGATGAATTATAAAAATTACTATGCGTATATAACCTACACACATTACATTACATTTAATTAATCCTAAGTTAATTTGCACTCTCTGAATATTTAATACATAAAAGTATTATCAAATTCCATGCAAATATATATTTGTGACTTTTTTTCCTGTGACTTTTTTCCCGTGACTTTTTTTCCTGTGACTGTTTTTCTGTGGGTTTTTTTCCTGTGGTTTTTTTCCTGTGACTTTTTTTCCTACAATCACGAACTTGACGGTAGACGATTTGGTGCGAGAGTATTGTGCGCGTGTTCAATAAAATATGTGTGACGTGAGCATGGTGCGACAGTGTACTAATGACGTAAGACGCAGCACTGAAGTTAGTTGGGGTTAGATATAGTAGAAGACGGACGTATTATTTGATATTGTGCAAATGATCTATAAGTGTGTATTAATAAAGTTCATGTTATTTCATAAACGAAGTTGTCGAAATTGCAAATAAGTGTCTGCGGAACATAAGAGTGATTCCCGTCCTTCTCACGAGTATAATAGTTGCCGTATGAATAGTAGTAGATCAGAATACATTGAGATTATATATATAAACCCCGCATCACAATATAGTTATCTCCCTCTAGAAAAAAAAATAGGAAAATTATAATCTATCACTTATTCGTCTGTTTAAAAAAAAAAGAAATACGTCATGTTTCTCAACCACGCCGTTTCATCCCCCACTAAGCACAACGTCACAAAGTTCGCGGCGCGCGTGACGTCATTTGTCATTAGGCTAATGTTTAAGAAAGAGATACCTCGTAATTAAAAAAAAAAATCAAATCAGGCACTAAATGACTATGGCGATGAGACATTAGCGACATTTAGCCTGACGAATAGATCTAAATAACCTTAGTTCGGTGAATTATATTGGTGTTTAATTTATTACAGTGGCATGATGTTCTCCCTCTACTATACAAATTCACGTGCTTTTAATTTCTGCAACATGCTGCCCTGAGACGTTCGGCTCTAAAATGCCAGTGACACAGCGGCTTCGGTAAATGCATTTAGGCTCCCGGTCCCACCTATAAACGTCTGTCCATTAAGCTCCACGCAAAACGTGTGATTAATATGTGGACATGCGCTAGTGGTGGTGTCAACAGTGGCCAAGCTCAGGTCACTTAAAGGTGCTCCGCACTTCATAAAAGACAAAATTGATGTTCAGATATCGTCGGACTCTGGCGTTTTGCCGACGGCCGTACTCCTAATGCACAATCTTAGAGGCTGTCCACTGCTAACACTATTTTATGTTAAATTCAAGCCTATACTGAGCTGTGGCTTTACATTAGCTCAGTGGCGTAGCGAGGTCGAGTGTCACCTGGTGCGGCACTTAATGGTGTCACCCCCCAGAGGCGACAAGCTTTCAATTTGTCCCATTTTACCTGCTGTCAATAATTGTCTTGGACTCTTGTCGAATATTGCTGCCAGGAGCTACTTGGTTTGAGCCTTGTTGTCAGAAGTTATTTCATTTGGAGTCAATATAGTGCGGCCTATTTTCCTCGGTAGGCATTTAGTGGCAGGCCCTTTTTGGCGGGGATGATGTGCTGAGGTTGTTTAACACCGCTTAGTACAACAGGCATGCAATAGTTATGATCATTCGTTATGAACAAATGTATGCATGAAAACGAACGCTTTATGTTCCTCATTTTCATTGAGCACAGCTTTATAGAAGATTCCAAAATAGACGTCACGCATTCCCCCCCCCCCCCCCCCGACCACCCTGCGTAAGTTGACGTCTAATTAGCATAGCATATGTGAATGTGACCCCAATTACTCATTTTGGGTATTTGGTATCAACATTTTGACAACAAAGATTATTCAAAATGTATATAGGACTTGACATCTACCATAAATGATATCGCATACTTAAGGCTTAAGGGGTGGAGTAACTGGTTTTGAGACGACGTTTTACGCGGGAAGTGGGAGGGGTAAGAAACGTGAAACGTTATGTATTTCGCCTAATACAAAAAATGCTGAAAATATCTTTTTCATTAGATTTGTGGCTTGAATTTTTAACAGACAGGACAAAAAGGTTATTTTCGACATTACGACCATTTTGTGACGGCGAAAATGGGAGGGGGGGGGGGGTTAAGGTGAAGAGAGGTAAAAAAAACGGGACGTCATTTATGATTAAATCACTAATTAAAGGAAAAAAGCATGAAAATATTAAATAAAAATAGCAAACAAACAATAACACAAACAATAAGAATTAACTCACACTAATATTTAAATAAACATTAGATATGTAGTGGTAGCTCTATACAAATAGGGAGCATCTTAATGTATAAAAATTGCATCTCATAATAATAATTCTAGAACTGATGTCAGTCAATTAAATTGTTTAAAGGGCAGAATTTAAAAAAAAAACGCATGCTTTGTATTTAAACACAAGACTAACGCATTTAATAGCAAACATAAATACATTTCCA